AGAGTAGGGGTAGGGGGGGCAGAATTTGAGGCATAGGGAATTGATTTTTTCTGTTTTGTTTTGTTTAGTTTTGAGGCAGGGTTTCACTCTGTTGCCCAGGCTGAAGTGCAGTGACCCAATCCCAGCTCACTGGAGCCTCTACTTCCGAGGCTTAAGTGATGCTCCCTCATCTCAGCCTCCCAAATAACAGGAATCATCAGCATGAGCCACCAATGCCCAGCCCTGATGGTTTTTTTGTTTTGTTTTGTTTTTTTTGTAATAGGCCTAGTAGAACTATTTGACTCCTAAACTATGTACATGCTTAGTTTTGATTAAAACAAACATTGCAGCACAGAGGCACCTTCAGGCCTAAGAATTCGAAAGATACAAAAAGAAACAATTTGACAAATCAATACAACACACATTTACACACCAGGAAAAAAGAAAAGAAGAGAGCGTTTGAAAGGACTTTGTAAACTCTCAAGCACTAGGAACAAGTTAGAAGACTCAGTAGAATGGAAGCAAGAGAATATGGTTAAGAGTAGGGGCTCTAGGTTCCAACAATCCCAGTTTACACTCTAGCTCTGCTATGTACCAGCTGTGTGACCTTGAGAATGTTGCTAAGGCTCAGTTTCCTTATTTGTAAAACAGTTATAATAATAGTCCCTCTCTGTGAGAGACTGTGAGAGTAAAATGAGATAAGCCTTTGCACAGAGAACACATTGGAAAGTTTTAGCTACTATTAATCTCTTTTGTTCCTTCATCTTCTCTGTGGATTAATGGACATTAAATGGAGGACTAAAAGGGACTCAGTATAAAAGAAAATCTAAACGAAAAATCTGAGATGATACACAGACTAGAGAACCAGCATCTAAGTAATTGAAAACTGTGATTGTTGTGGTTTCAGTAGTGTAATTGGCAAGCCAATTGCCTTAGAGCTACAGCTGTCCATGCCTTCCTCTGTCCCCTTTCCTTCCCTTTTCTTTATCCTAACCATTGTCATTATCATCTTTTTTTAATTTAATTTTATTTTTTGAGACAGAGTCTCCCTCCATCACCAGGCACCAGGCTGGAGTGCTGTGGCCCAACCTTGGCTCACTGCAAACTTGTCCTCCGGGGTTCAAGCAATTCTCCTGCCTCAGCCTCCCAAGTAGGTGGGACTACAGGCGCACACCACCATGCCCAGCTAATTTTTTTTGTGTTTTTAGTAGAGACGGGGTTTCACCATGTTGGCCAGGATATCATCATCTTTTAATGGTTACTGAGCATTTCATTCATTCAGCAAATATTTATTGAATGCCTAATGTGCTTCTTTTAGTCTCTGATTCCCATGTGCTCAGTTGATCTAGTTACATTATTTAGACAACAGGTTCAGACTATAGCTATGAAAAGGAACTTTTTTTCTGCAACAAAAAGTAGTCATGATCAATGACAGGTAAGGAGGCAAATTAATCCAAGAGCAACCACAGGGCATCCAACTCTCACAGAAGGTAATTTTCCTCTACACCTAGTACAATTCTCCTCCCAAACACCATTCCTTTTCCCTAATCTGTTCATCACAAAATGTAATTTTTTTGTTTTTTGAGACAGAGTCTCGCTCTGTCACCAGGCTAGAGTGCAGTGGTGTGACCTCGGCTCACTGCAACCTCCGCATCCCGCGTTCAAGCGATTCTCCTGCCTCAGCCTCCTCAGTAGCTGAGACTACAGGCGCACCACTGTGCCCAGCTAATTTTTGTATTTTTAGCAGAGATGGGATTTCATCATGTTGGCTAGGATGGTCTCAATCCCTTGACCTTGTGATCCGCCCACCTCATCCTCCCAAAGTGCTGGGATTACAGGCATGAGCCACCATGCCCAGCTGTGATTTTTCAAATTAAGTTTTTATGTCATTCTTTTTTTTTTTTTTTTTTTGAGAAGGAGTTTCGCTCTTGTTACCCAGGCTGGAGTGCAATGGTGCGATCTCGGCTCACCGCAACCTCCGCCTCCTGGGTTCAGGCAATTCTCCTGCCTCAGCCTCCTGAGTAGCTGGGATTACAGGCACACGCCACCATGCCCAGCTAATTTTTAGTATTTTTAGTAGAGACGGGGTTTCACCATGTTGACCAGGATGGTTTCGATCTCTTGACCTCGTGATCCACCCACCTCGGCCTCCCAAAGTGCTGGGATTACAGGCTTGAGCCACCGTGCCCAGCCTTATGTCATTCTAAATACGCCTGATTCTTCCTTGAATTCTAGGGAGAATTCTTTTGTTTTGTTTTGTTTTTGTTTGTTTGTTTTGAGACTGAGTCTTGCTCTGTCACCCAGGCTGGAGTGCAGTGGTGCCATCTCAGCTCACTGCAACCTCCTCCTCCTGGATTCAAGTGATTTCCCTGCCTCAGCCTCCTGAGTAGCTGGGATTGCAAGCATATGCCATCAAGCCCAGCTAATTTTTGTATTTTTAGTAGAGACAGGGTTTTGTCATGTTGCCCAGTCTGGTCTCAAACTCCTGGGCTCAAGGAGTTCGATCCATCCGCCTCAGCCTCCCAAAGTGCTGGGATCACAGGTGTGAGCCACCACACCCAGCCAGAATATAGTTATTTTTGTTGTTGCTGGGTTTTTTTTGTTTTTTGTTTTTTGTTTTTCCTAACTATCACTCAGAAATGTTGCCAGGGCTGAGGCATTGTTAAGGACCATGAGGCATTCTTTAGGACCACCATTCCACCACCATTCCTTCACTGAGAGAGTGCCCAGAGTTAAATGGTACTTTCTGTGACTCAAAGGTTTTTTGTTTTGGTTTGGTTTTTGCAGCTTCATGGTTGGTTTTGGCCAACTTTTTATTTAGTATTCTGTAGTTAACACACACTTAAATAGTCTTATTGGGGGAGGGAAAAGGGGAGGTTCTTGCAGATTCCCAAGGAAATGTCAGAAAGGCAAAATGGCCAGCATTATCCATTTGCTTTTTTGGGTTTACTGGGTGGATATTTCTTTACATAGGCATCTGATTTCAGGTTTTTCATACTGAGAACATTGAGATTTCAGATGGAAGATACCCTAAAATCTTAAAGCATACCCCAACCACCCTCTAATAGCTACCTTGTTTGTATAAGCAGAACGATTCATCTCTCCATTTTAGATGGCTAGATGTTTTGTGGAAGATCTTAGAATGCTTGCCTCATTTAGTGGGAAAAATCAGATAGGAAGTGGCCTTTAGGGACACTTTTATTTGGAAAGTTACAACACTAATGCAAGTCTTAACACACTTAACATTTGCTTGTTGAAAAGCAATGTCATAAAGTCAAAAGAATGCTTGAAGAACTGCCTCACTGTCCTTTATAGACATCCAGTTGTTGTTTTCTCCCTCCCTCTCCCAGCCTCTTTTATCTTTCTTATCCATGTAGCTGAGCCCTTTGGACCTGAATGTTCCACCCAACACATACCTATGACCAACCTGACCCAGTGTCAGCTTGCCATTGCTGCTCTGATTCTGGTTTTATACTGCAATTTTAACAGAGTTCAAATTTCTGAGATCTGGGCCCTACTTCTGGAATCTGAGCTCCTTTTTGATTCCTTTAATTGGCTCCCTTGTCTTAATACACCATGAAATCACAATCCCTCAGAGTCCAATATGCTCCTACTACTCCCCCATTGCAGATGCTGCTATTTGCAACATCTCTGACTCAAACAGCAGGCTATTTATCTGGATCTCTGGATATTACTTTTTCTGGGTTATCCAGCACTGTGCTATCCAGTTTAGAAAAATTCTCTAGCTCCAAGTTATTCCTCCTTCTTGTTAACAACTTCCCAGTCTATCCTCCCTTCTGATGTGTACCATTGAGGCTGGACTTCGTTCTAGAACATGCAGCTGGATTTATCTTATACCTGTCTTGATCCAATGTACCTTGTCCACCTACAGTTAATCAGAACATGTTGGTCCTGTCCTAAGACAAGACGGTCATTTGACCAACCTACAGAATACAATTCTCATAAGGAAGTAGGAGGTGTAAATTTTGAGATCAAGGCTACTTGTACATACATAGCTTTTATACACATATATACACATAACCCATGTCACACCATGCCTTTCCTTACCCACATTGCTATCTGCTTGTGAAAAGGCAGACATATGTCTATTTCCTAATTTTGAGTCAGTGACTGGATTTGAAAGGATATTACACTAATAAAATAATTAGTTCCATTGGCAGAGATTTCAAGAAAATACAAGGTTTTGCATATGGGGGTATAATAATGACTAATGCAACTTACTATAAGCTAGGCTCTGTTTTAAGTGCTTTATATAAACTAACTCATTTAATCCTCGTAACTATCCAGTGAAGTAGTTTCTGTTATTATCCCCATTTTACAAATAAGAAAATTAAAGCACAGAGGCTGGATATGGTGGCTCACACCTGTAGTTCCAGCACTTTGGGAGGCTGAGGCAGGATGATCACTTGATGCCAAGAGTTCAAGACCAGCCTGGGAAATATAGCAAGACCTCATCTTTAAAAAAATTAGTTGTTTTTTTTTTTTTTTTTTTTTTTTTTTTGAGACAGAGTCTCGCCCTGTCGCCCAGCCTGGAATACAATGGCACAATCTCGGCTAACTGCAACCTCTGCCTCCTGAGTTCAAGCAATTCTCCTGCCTCAGTCTCCCAGTTAGCTGGGATTACAGGAGCCTGCCACCACACCTGGCTAATTTTTGTATTTTTAGTAAAACAGGGTTTCACAATGTTGGTCAGGCTGGTCTCAAACTCCTGACTTCAGGTGACCCACCTGCCTTGGCCTCCCAAAGTGCTGGGATTACAGGCGTGAGCCACTGGGCCTGGTCAGAAAAATAATAACAATAATTTTTTTTAATGCTTAAATCAAAGCACAGAGAGCTTGAGTAATTTACCAGAGGTCATATAGTTAGAAGAACTGGGTATTGAACCCAAGCAATCCTAGAGGACTACTGTGCTATATTTCTTCTGATCTTTATATCCTCCTTCAAACTGGATTTTGTAGTTCTTAAAATAAAGTTCAGCCTTTTTTCAGGCGGTCAGGAAGATGGTGGACATTCAGATGGAGCGTGTGTACTTAAAACAGCCGACTATTTTTCAAAACAAGAAGAGGGTCCTGCTGGGAGAAACTGGCAAGGAGAAGCGCCTACGGTACTACAAGAACATCAGTCTGGGCCAGGCGCGGTGGCTCAAGCCTGTAATCCCAGCACTTTGGGAGGCCGAGGCGGGTGGATCACAAGGTCGAGAGATCGAGACCAACCTGGTCAACATGGTGAAACCCCGTCTCTACTAAAAACACAAAAAATTGCCGGGCGCGGTGGCTCAAGCCTGTAATCCCAGCACTTTGGGAGGCCGAGGCGGGTGGATCACGAGGTCGAGAGATCGAGACCATCCTGGTCAACATGGTGAAACCCCGTCTCTACTAAAAAGTGCAAAAAATTAGCTGGGCATGGTGGCACGTGCCTGTAATCCCAGCTACTCAGGAGGCTGAGGCAGGAGAATTGCCTGAGCCCAGGAGGCGGAGGTTGCGGTGAGCCGAGATCGCGCCATTGCACTCCAGCCTGGGTAACAAGGGCGAAACTCAGTCTCAAAAAAAAAAAAATTCAAAAAATTAGCTGGGCATGGTGGCGCGTGCCTATAATCCCAGCTACTCAGGAGGCTGAGGCAGGAGAATTGCCTGAACTCAGGAGGCGGAGGTTGCGGTGAGCCGAGATCGCGCCATTGCACTCCAGCCTGGGTAACAAGAGCGAAACTCCGTCTCAAAAAATAAATAAATAAATAAATAATTAAAAAAAAAGAACATCAGTCTGGGCTTCAAGACATCCAGAGAGGTTACTGAGGGCCCCTACATTGATAAGAAATGCCCCTTCACAGTTAATGTCTCCAGTGGAGGGCGGATCCTCTCTGGCGTGGTGACAAAGATGAAGATGCAGAGGATAATCATCATCCGCCAAGACTACCTCCACTACATCCACAAGTACAGCTGCTTTGAGAAGCACCACAAGAACATGTCCATACACCTGTCCCCGTGCTTCAGGGATGTCCAGATCAGTGACATCGTGACAGTGGGTGAGTGCCAGCTTCTGGAGCCCTTCCTGACACCTCACACTAAAATTAACTCCAGATGGATTAAAGACTTAAACATTAGACCTAACACCATAAAAACCCTGGAAGAAAACCTAGGCAAAACCATTCAGTACATGGGCATAGGCAAAGACTTCATAACTAAAACACCAAAAGCATTGGCAACATAAGCCAAAATAGACAAATGGGATCTAATTAAACTCCAGAGCTTCTGTAAAGCAAAAGAAACAATCATTAGAGTGAACTGGCAACCAGCAAAATGGGAAATTTTTTTTTGCAATCTACCCGTCTGACAAAGGGCTAATATCCAGAATCTACAAAGAACTAAAACAAATTTATAAGAAAAAAACAAACAAACCCATTCAAAAGGGTGCAAAGGATATGAACAAACACCTTTCAAAAGAAGACACATATGAGGCCAACAAACATATTAAAAAATGCTCATTATCACTGGTCATTAGAGAAATACAAATCAAAACCACATTGAGATACCATCTTATGCCAGTCTGGAAACCATCATTCTCAACAAACTGACACAAGAACAGAAAACCAAACACCGCATGTTCTCACTCTTCGGCGGGTGTCAAACAATGAGAACACATGGACACAGGGAGGGAAGCATCACACATTGGGGTCTGTCGGGAGGGGCTAGAAGAGGGACACTGGGGGTGGGGAGGTTGGGGAGGGATAGCATGGGGACAAATGCCAGATATAGGTGACGGGAGGATGGGGGCAGCAAACCACCTCGCCATGTATGTACCTATGCAACAATCCTGCATGATCTGCACATGTACCCCAGAACCTAAAGTACAATTTAAAAAATAATAAATCAGTAAAATAAAGTTCATAAGTTTCAGTAAATCAAGGAAATTTTAGTGCGTTTGGCACTGTCTTCATAATACATTTGCTAATGTAAACAGGAAAGCAGTCAATTACCAGTAAAGTGTGTTTTATGTTTTTATTATATTATATTATATTATTATTATTTGAGATGGAGTTTTGCTCTTGTTGCCCAGGCTGGAGTACAATGGCACGACCTCAGCTCACTGCAATCTCCACTTCCTGGAATCAAGTTATTCTTCTGCCTCAGCCTCCCTAGTAGCTGGAATTACAGGTGCCCACCACCACACCCAGCTAATTTTTTTATTTTTAGTAGAGACAGGGTTTCACCATGTTGGCCAGGCTGGTCTCGAACTCCTGGTCCCAAGTGATCCACCTTCCTTGGCCTCCCAAAGTGCTGGGATTACAGGCATGAGATACCACACCCAGCTGTTTTGTATTTATTAAACAATACTATAAAATTCTGATGAAATCCCTATTGTAATTCAGACTTGAGGTTTCTTTTTTTGATCTTCAGAAACTGACCCAGCTGTTTCTTCCAGCTGCCTGGTAATTCAACAGGAACAAAATCAGTGAATCAGTTCAAATCCTTAATTCTGAAAAGAATGCATTTCCTTTTGTCTTCATAAGACACCTACATTTAAATAACAATGCAAAAGCAACCAGGCGCTGTGTGAGCAAATTTACATAATTGGTGTCAGGGGTCTAAAGCAGAAGCAAAAGGGGGCTAGAAATTGATGGAGTTGATAGAGCTGATTATTCCATCCATCTTAGCATCTTTTCAAATCTTTTATAATGGAGACATTAAATTGCTGTGCATATGTCTTTTGTCTCTCTAAATTAATGGGGTTTAAGTTAAAGAAAGCTAATTTAACCATAGGTTTTGTATGTTTAGATCTATGCTTTTTGGTTTAGAACATGTATGATAAAGCATGTGACCATTTCTGCAAAGATTTCATGCCAGTCAGCACTTTTTTGTGACCCATTTGCTCACAGAGCCTGCCACATCTGTCATACTGAACAGCCAGTACATCTACTTGGAAAGCTAATGTTTTTTTTGTTTTTGTTTTTGTTTTTTTTTTCGAGACGGAGTTTCGATCTTGTTACCCAGGCTGGAGTGCAATGGCGTGATCTCGGCTCACCGCAACCTCCGCCTCCTGGGTTCAGGCAATTCTCCTGCTTCAACCTCCTGAGTAGCTAGGATTACAGGCACGCGCCACCACACCCAGCTAATGTTTTGTATTTTTAGTAGACACGAGGTTTCACCACGTTGACCAGGATGGTCTCGAGCTTTTGACCTCGTGATCCATCCGCCTCCGCCTCCCAAAGTGTTGGGATTACAGGCGTGAGCCACTGTGCCCGGCTTCGAAAGCTAATCTTAATAATTTAAGCAAAATTTTAAGAAGCCAAACACCTGCAGTAAATATAGCATATGTTCTTGATAGATTTTAGCCATTCTATGTATAGAGACATAGACATTTTTCTTAGCCATAATTGTAGGGCACTAAATCCCACTCAAATTAGTTCAAGTACAAGGGGATCATGTTTATTGAAAAGATCGACAAGTAACTTATAAAACCAAAACTGTTAGGACAGCCAGGTTTCACAAGGGATTTGACATGAAACCCGAAAGTCACAAACTGAAGATATTATTTTCATCTCCTCTGTGCTCCATTCTCCTTTCTTTGAAGATTGGCTTTCAGTATCCCCTTGGTAGAAAATGGCAGTCCAGACCCAGCTCTTCATTATTTATTATTTATTTATTTTTTTTGAGATGGAGTTTCACTCAGTGCTCAGGCTGGAGCGGTGCAATGGTGCGATCACGGCTCACCACAACCTCTGCCTCCCAGGTTCAAGCAATTCTCCTGCCTCAGCCTCCTGAGTAGCTGGGATTACAGGCATAAGCCACCACGCAAGGCTAATTTTGCATTTTTAGTAGAGACAGGGTTTCTCCATGTTGGTCAGACTGGTCTCAAACTCCCAACCTCAGGTGATATCCACCTGCCTTGGCCTCCCAAAATGCTGGGATTACAGGCGTGAGCCATTGTGCCTGGCCTTTCTTCATTATCTAACATTTCTAGTGCCCAATATAAACAAACCAAAAACTCTGCATCCCAATTCCAAATTCCCAGGAGAGAGAATGTAATTAACTTAAGTCAGGTGTCTACCTCTTATTCAGTCAGCTGTGGGTAGACTGTATGAGCAACGTCATACAGTCACTGGGTTGCTTTCTGCACATTAGGAACTGGGGTTAGCCGGCTTTTTGGAAAGGATTTCACAGCACATTGTTGCCATTCTTTGAAATGAGAGATAAGGAGGTAATGCATATGTTAATTTGCTCAATTGGGCCATTCCATAATATTTCAAAACACCGTGTTGTATATGATAAATAAAATTTTGTTTTGTTTTTGAGATGGGGGTCTCTCTGTTGCCCAGGCTGGCCTTGAACTAGGCTCAAAGGATTCTCCCATCTCAGTCTCCCAAGTAGCTGGGACTACAGGCATGCATCTCTACATCTGGCTGACACATAACATTTTTGTCAGTTTAAAAAATTAAAAAGAAATTTTTTTTAAATTAGAGATAATGAATTGCAGATAAGCCCTCTAGGATACACGTTTTGTCCATCTTCACATCTCAAATCCATTCTGATCCCTACTAATAACCTGCAACACTTGATTTTTTTCATTTCTGCATCTGCCAAAAGCATCAGCCAAGTGTTGACAAGATAGCTGTGAGCATTTGTCAACTTGTACAACTGATGGTGACTCTCCTCGTGGAGAATTTCCTGGAAATTTTATGTTTATGCTTCAAGAAATTTCACAAGTAATGCCTGCAAATACCTCCACCTTGCCCTTATGCTAGGTGCTCAGTGACCAAAAATAACATCAGGAAAGGCAATCCACATCTTTTAGTTTTAACCTCCAAATAAATGAGACCAATGTAAATACATCTGAGTGTGAAGATGTGTAAAAGGAAAAATCAGAGTGATATCCTTATTAATTTACACATTTTAATTTTGACTTCCAAGCTGTAAATAAGCCACTTTATTAAAATATAGCCTTAACCAGAGGTTGCAGTAAGCCAAGATTGCGCCATTGCACTCCAGCCTGGGCAACAAGAGGGAAACTCCATCACAAATATATATATACATACATACACATACACACACACACACACACACACATCTCCATACCATTGTCAATTCCAAGTGACATTTCAGGGAAAAATAAATGGTGATCCATCTAATGACTGAGTTCAGCCATGATAATAATTCCATGTCACTGTAATTTAGCCCAAGCCTCTTTCCATGTGAAGAAGGAGAAAGTGCTTTCTTGTTTTTAATTTGCTTTAATTTTTAAATTTTACAAGCTATATGAAAGTTCCCTTCTGGTATCTAGAGTTTCCTAGATATAGGAGATAAAGATCTCATGCTGAATGACTTTTTAAACTCACTGGGTAAGAACTTAGAATTTTAGGAGCTGAGCTAGAGATGACTTCCTAATGCATCTATGCAGAAAATGTTGATTATGGGTACTAGTCCAGGAATAACCACAGTCATATTTTTGCTTTCTTGTGTTTTCCAAATGACTCATAAAAGACCTTTTGCATTCAAACAGTGTTTCATGAAATGGGAATGATAAAATACAGAAAGTGGACATTGCTGTCTCTTCTTGATGAATGCAGCTTTTGTTACCTGGTATGAGGCCAGAATAGCTTATCTAAAACAGGAGTGAGTTGTACTCCATGCCAGCCACTTCCTGTGCTCTGTGCTATTTCTCTGCTATTTGTGTGACTTCTCCCTGGGGGAAGAAATGTCTTTGAGAATGTCTGGTCCAGTGGTTCTTAACTCTGCAAATTAGAATTACCTGAGGACAGTTAAAAAAACACACACACACACAAAAAACAAAACAAAATAATGTGTTGATTTCACCAGTTAAATTAGAATTTCTGGAAACTAAACTTGGATATCACTGTTTTTAAAAAGCTCTCCAAGAGATTTAAATGTGCCACTGGAGTTGAGAATCCCTAAATTAGATTTGATGAAGATAACCTGACTATTACAGACCAATGTTTCTCAACCTTTATTTCATTATCACCTCTCAAGGAACCTCTTTAGACTTTTTTTCTAATCATCCCCCCATAAATAGTTAATATCACATATTATAATATATCTATTTGTGTACTGTATATGCAATAACATATGTGTGTGTGTGTATGTTTCATTCTGGGGGCTGAAAAATCCTCCTGTCTCAGTCTCTCAAGTAGCTGGGATCACTGGTGCAGGCCACACCTATCTAATTGTCTTATTTTTTTTGTTAAGAGATAAGGGCTCACTATGTTGCCCAGGCTGGTCTCCAACTCCTGGCCTACAGCAGGTCTCTCGCCTCAGACTCCTAAGAAGCTGAGATTACAGGCGTGAGCCACCACACACATCACATCTGAGTTCTACAACATTAAAAAAAAAAAAAAAAAGAGTATGGGCTGGGCTCGGTGGTTCATGCCTGTAATCCCAGCACTTTGGGAGGCCAAGGCGGACGGATGACGAGGTCAGGAGATTGAAACCATCCTGGCTAACACAGTAAAACCCTGCCTCTGAAAAAAAAAATTAATTTATTAAAAAAAAGTATGAAGCCTGGGCAACAAAATGAGACCCCCCATCTCTGCAAAAAGTTAAAAAAAAAAAAAAAAAGCTAGGCATGGTGGTACACACCTGCAGTCCCAGCTATAAGGGAGGCTGAGACAGGAGGATTGCTTGAGCCTAAGAGGTCAAGGCTGCAGTGAACAGTGTTCATGCCACTGCACTCCAGACTGGGTGACAGAGCAAGCTCTGTCTCAAAAAAAGAGCATCACTTTGTTGCCCTTCAAGGACCAATTTTTGGCTGGGCATGGTGGCTCATCCCTGTAATCCCGGCACTTTGGGAGGCCGAGGCAGGCAGATTACCTGAAGTCAGGAGTTCAAGCCCAGCCTGGCCAACATGATGAAACCCCCACCTGTACTAAAAATACCAAAAAAAAAAAAAAAAAAATTAGCCGGTGTGGTGGCAAGCACCTGTAATCCCAGGTACTTGGGAGGTTGAGGCAGGAGAATTGCTTGAACGCAG